TGTTAATTTGATCTTAAAGTACATGTCTTTAATCCCGAGGCCTCACTGTCCAAACTAAAATTAAGAACATTTTATGCATTTTATCTTAATAATTGAAAACATTGGACATTTCAATCTCGGATTTAGTTATTAATTTTAGATGGCATTAAATTTTGGACGAAATAAAAAGACAATTTATAATTTAGGACCAAGTTAATACTTAGGTGAGTAACTAAAATTGTATTTAATCTTTCTTCGGATTTATCTTATTCATAACATAATGTAATTATATTTACAGAATGGTTCATTTCACTTTTAAACCACACTGTATCACTAATTTTTCTATTTCATTTCTAAACTATTAATTTTGCCTATATAATCTTTAAAAATTTTAATTTTTGTCTATGTTATCCAGTTGAAAACGTTGTATTACACTTATTAAATTGATTGTGGGGTACAGTATGTCCGAAATAATAATAATTAAAAAAAAATGAATGTTTTATTATAAGATTTAAATTGTTCAAATTTTAAAGCACATTAAAAAAAATTAAATTACGCTTCATCTTTAATTGGATTAGATGAAGAAAAAAAAAACAAAACAAAACAAGTGAAAGGAAAAAAATACAAAAAAAATGGTGATAGTTTGAGGATGTATTTGGATCATAAATTTAGCTAAAAATTCAAAAAAAAAAAAATTTGAGAAAAATATCAACCAAATATAAACTAATTTTTTTACTCTAGCGCACTCGTTCTAAAAGTCCAAATTATAATTTTGTTTAGCCAAAAGATCATTTTCTAAAATACTTTGCTTAAAAGGACAACCTCAAGTAAAATGACTAGAATGCCTTATATATATGATATACACAAACCCATGACATAAAAATCAAAACACTCTCTCTCTTCTCTCCGACCTCACCGCCCATCGCCATGTTTCGTTGTCATCGTCACCACCACCAGCCCCACCATTGCCTTCACTACCCTTTTCCTTGTTTACCTTTACCATACACAGCTTGTACAATGTTGATATCACATTAACAATGATACCAACGGTGGAATCGCTCCACAAGCTCCAATTGATGTCTCTCTCATGGTTACCACTATAACACCCGCTTCCCTATTTAACTGTTAATTTTGTGGTTTACCCTCATTGTGTGTTTCTATGTGACTTTGATGTTTATCTGTGTGGTAATTACGCGCTATATATGTCCTGCTTGATAGATACGTTAATTTGTAGAAAAGATCTGTTTGATTCGTTAAATTGTAAGGTTACAAATTAAATAATGGACTAGGTGGTTAGAGTCTAATTCACCTTAATCAGATAAAGTAGGGTTAAGTTAACCTAGGGTATAGTAAGAAATAGTTTAATTGCAAGGGTTGTAGTTTAATTAATCCAAGTCAAATAAGTTAGATATTTATATATATGTTTGAACTTAAAGGAAATCAAGTTAGAAGAGAGAGATATAACCTGAGAGAGAATGAGAGTTGTAGAGCTTTGGAGAACAAGGAGGAGAAGAGAAAGATTAGGGCAAATCTTCACCAATTAACCCTTGAAGGTAAGAATCCTTTCCCATTTCTTAAATCTAAGTTGTTTTTATGGTTGAAATCATGGATTTCTAGTTTTTAAGAAAGTTGTGTGGTGAGGGATTGAGGTTAAAACCCCAAGGAGGGGAATTTGTAGGAGATGGCTTGAAACCTTGTTATATATGTCATCTTTCCTAGGTATTGACTTGCTCATGAAGGCATTTTTATGGTTTTTTGAAGTATAGAGCTACCATATGCATACTCCTTGTGTCTTCCTCCATTGTAAGTTTTAATATTGTGACTTGGAAGCCATAATTGTAGATGATTGTGATTTGGCCTTGGAATTTGCTCATTTACCATGTTTGAGTCAGTTTTGAGTCTTAGGTTGTTCAAAATTGGGTTTGTTTTTCTGGAAAATTGAAGCTTAAACAAAGCAAAATTTTCGATTCTGGAACATCCAGAATCGTACATGCGGTAGGAAGGACCGCACGTGTAAGGAGTTATGGCGCACGTGCGGCAAGAAGGCCCGCACGTGCGGAAAATAGGGACAGAGGCACCTTGCATTCTGAAATAATTGTACTATCCGGTGCACGTGCAGTGTGAGTCCCACACGTGCGGCCAAGGGGCTCTGCACGTGCGGCTGTGTTTGGCAAACCTAGTGTCATTTTTTGCTTCATTTCCTCATCTTTCGAGCCTCTGTTAGCATGATTTCCGCATATATTTGACGATCATGTGCATTACATAGACATTAAAGTGAATGAGGAATAATTAAACCAACCAATCCATAAGTTATAGAACAACTAGTTGGTTACACGGTGAATGAATGTGTTATGCTTATGTATGTCTATGTAGGTCAAGAGCCACGTCCTAACTACGTTTTTCGCGAAGCCAATTGTGAATAACACTGTTGTAAAGATATGTTTAACTTAAGTATCTCTTTTCTACTTTATCTTTTCCCTGTTCTAAACATGCTTATCTTTATGTTTAATGAATGATGATCCTATATTTTTATACTGCATTTCGTGGCATCCTTAGCACCTGTTTACATTGTTACAGAGATCTCTGTTAGTTCCATTTCATGGAACTTCTATTTATTATATTGATGGCCATTACATTAGATTATTGGTCTTCATGACTGTCTGTTTGGTCTTTAAGACCGCCTGAACTAGTCTGCTATGGGATGTACCATGTAAACATTTATGTCCCTATATGAAAGAAAAATCTGTTACAGTTTATGGTTTTGCTTTTTAGTAAGGACATCATTTGGAACCTCTTTACACAGTTGTTATTCACTAAGCTCTGGCTCACGTTTGGATATGTATATATATGTAGGTGATCCAGTTCAAGAGGGGGCGTAGTGGCAGCGATCTCGTCTCCGTTTTGGTCAAGCTACCTTTTGTGCCTCTCAGCGAGGTTCCCTTCTGTTGAAGCGTTGGGTAGCCAGTGAATGGCCTTTTGAAAATCACTCATGTGTTATGGTTGGTTGTCACTGGTGTTATATCCGTTGTGATGGGAAGGCCTTCCCTCTTCTAGTTGTATTTTGACAAACTTGTGATACCTTGATGTACATATGTATATATATCTATAACAATGCTTTTTGTCTCATATAAGTTCACAGCTCGTGGGACGTTTTACTTTCTTATGTCTTAGCTTCTGCCAGCCCTGCTTATTTGATTTGTACAGTTAGGCCTTTGGTTTACGATGCCAAACTTTTAGGCGTGGGTTTGGGTCATGACAACCACCATCACCGTCTCTGCTTCGGTGTTGCATGCGTAGTCCAGCTATCATCTCCACCTTACCTCGCCTCTTCACCGACACATCCTCCATTACGCAGATCTGGTAGCTTCAGACCCCATTTTCATATCCTCAACAAGGTTTTATTGACACGCCCCAACGACAAGGTGGATCTGGATCTATTGGAGTAACTAGATCTAGCGACGTAGAACTCTCTCTCTTTCTTCTCTTCCTATCTCTTTGATATACAAGTATTTAGCTTTGAATGTATGTATATATGTATGTGTATGTATACATATACAGAGATGAACCTTTTAATCGTACATATTTTGCGATGGACGTCAGTTTATCGATGGTAAGCACCATATACAGTTTATGTTCATGGCGTTTTCTCTTGCGCCTCACTTTTACAATTTGTTGTTGTTGATTAGGGTTTAGTTGTTGTTGTTGATGATGACGATGATGATGAATCTATGCTGTGATGATGATGAATCTTTGTTTGTGGAATGATTTTAACAGATAATGGGTGATGAAGAAGAAGAAGATTGCAATAGATAAGAGATAGAAAGATGAGAGATTTGAATATATAGGAAAATAATAACATTTTGAACAGATAGAACAGATTTGTTTTAAACAAATTTGTTATAGTTGATTTTCAACAGATAAGACAACAAATATGTTCAAATATGGTGGAAAATTGAACAGATAAACAAAAAATTGGATAGATAAACAAAAAATTGGACAAATAGAATTTTATTTGGAAAAATATTTAAATAGATAAGGAAAATTTGAATTGAAAAGATTAAAAAAATTAAACAAATAGAAAAAATTTGAATAGATAGGGTAAAAAATTTGAACAGATAGAAAAAAATTTAAACAAATAGTCAACGAAAAGTCAAATAAATAAAAAAACAGTCAAGGATAAAATTAAAAATAAAATGTCTTATAGAATTTCTCATGAAACTATTTTACAAAGCGTGAACCACTCACTAATAAAAAAAGAGAACTGATCTGTAGCTCGAAAGAGCCCCTTCCTGAATCCCCCGAATTTGAAAAAGGAAGAAAAAGAAGAAGGACTAGAGGGGCCAACATCAACCGGGAAGAAGAGAAGGAAGAAGAAGAGAAGGAAGAAGAAGAAGAAGAAGAAGAAGAAGAAGAAGAAGAACTGGGCTGCGATGGCCGGCCTCAACCCTCGATCGGCGGAGGCTGAGGCGAAGGCGGAGGCGCGGCGATCGGCGACGGCCTAGACCCTCGATCGGCGACGGCCTCTTCCTCTCTCTTCTCTTTCTCTCTTTCTCTTTCTCTCCCTCTCCCTCTCTCTCTCTCTCTTTCTCTGCATTTCAGACTGGAGGGAAGAAAAAAAAGAAAAGAAAAGAAAAGAAAAGAAAAGAAAATGGAAACTGCTTAAAATGACGTCGTTTTGGGCAGTCGGGGGATTTGGGGAAGAAAAATTCGGAGGAAAAACCATTTTTGAATAAAAAAATATCCATTGAATCTAATACTTTAGACACTCTTTAAATTGAATATATCATTATTTTATTTTATTTTATTATTATTATCTTTTTATATTTTGTTCCTCACTAAATATTTTAATTAAAAAATTAAAAAAAATATAGAAGATAAAAAAAATTATTAAAATGATATGTTTCGGAACCTGATCACCTCTATTCAAATTCAGAAGGTAAATAGTACGAAAGGAGTAAAAGTGAAATAGTCGTTTACAAAATTATTAAAACCGCTTTGGTGTGCCCACAGAATACACAAGTCTTGTTTTCGTCATGTGCTATAAAACCAGTGTGTGGACCTCTGCACACTGTACATGAACTCCCAAGAAAGCTTTTCTCCATTTTTCTGAATTTTTGTTGTCATTAGTTAGTTTGAGAGAAAGAAAGAAACAACAAAACTCATAATTGATTGATCGGGTCGGTGAGGAATGGAGGATATGATCGGTCTTCTGAGGATTCGAGTCGGCAGAGGAATCAATCTTGTTGTTCGCGATTCAGTTTCCAGTGATCCCTTTCTCGTCATCACCAAGGGAGAACAGGCTTGTCTTCTTACAACACTCTTTTATTTTTTTATATTGCGTTTTTTAGTTTTTCTTTTCTTATGATCATATAATGATCATTCTCATGCCTTTTTGCACCTATTATTTTTGAAGGACCAAAAAAAAAAAAAAAATCTAGATTTTATCCCGGTAACAAATAAAATCCTAAATTATTTTAATTTAAATTCTGGAATTTTCAAATGATTTTAATTCTAACCATTTTAAAATGACAATTTAATAATTTTTTGTCAGTGGTGTTGGATGGTGAGGGTGGATGTCGACTAGGAAGGGAAAAAGAGATGGAGGAGGGGGCTGACGGACAATGGTAAATGTGAGAGGTGGCTGTCCTGTCCAAGGAACAAAAAAATGGTTATATTATTTAAAATTCAAGATTTAAGTTCAAACAATTAAAAATTAGGATTTGATTTGTTACCAAGGTTAAATCTTGGATTTTTTTTAAACGTTTTAATTTCTCCTATTTTTTATCAGCTGCTAATTAAAACAAACAAATGTTTATTTCATTATCTGTCGTTTTCGTGGTCGTAAAACCCATGTTTGGAATTCTTGTTGCTTTTCTCTCGATTTGAAGCTATATATGTTTTGTCCCTAAAATCACTATCCCCTGGTCCCAATACAGTCTTAGTCACATTAAATTACGCGACAGAACAATAAGAATTTTGAGAAGAGAGGATCTCTAGCTAGTGACATTTTGTTTCAATAATTAATTTCAATCAATCTTTCGTGGAAGGACTTGGTAATGAGAATGTCAATTATTTTCATCCAAAATACTGTCGGGGGGGGGGGGTTGGAGGAAATAGAACAAATTCTACAGTTTTGACATGATTACTCGGATGCTGTGTTTGGATGGGAGATTTAAGAACAGATTTGGAAAGGAAAAAGTTAGGTGAAATTTGAATAAAATATATTTACATTTCACATAGTTTCACATACTTTTTTTCTTTTCCTTTTCCTTTTCCAAATCCCTTCCTAAATCTCTCAATCAAACAAAGAGTTAAAGTTTTAATTCACATAATAGTTTGTCTCATTTTTATTGATAATTTGTTAGTCCAATGGATGGGAAAAATAAGCAATTGTATCTTTTATACCGAAATGTGTATATATTTTTTCTTGTTAGTCCTTGTGTGTTTACATCATATGCAGTAGTTTCGGTCTCTCTAATCTCATTAAAAGGGAGGTCGGTGTAAATATATTTAAACTGTGGAATGTGCTATATTTTCTCCAAATCACAATGGAGGTTAGTGAAATTTACCATTTTTTAACTATCTGGGAAAAACAAGAAAATAAAATGAAGTAAATGCTTTTAGACAGAACAATTTATTTTCTGATGAGAGTTTGTCCAAGAGGACAAAGGTCAAGTGCCCAATAAAGTACTGAAACATTGCCCAATTATATAAAGCAATGCTAGTGTTTTGGAATCCACTGTCAACAAATTTAGTGAATCCCATTTAGGTTTATTCTCTTCCATAAGCTAGAGTTGGTCCCAGAGACTGAGTTTGATATCTGAAAAGTTTCTAAGTTGCACATCAGAGTAGATGGACCGTCTTTTTGGGTCTGCTGCAGAAACATGAAACAATGTTTGAAATACACAAAAATGGGAACGATAATTGAACTGTCAGAGCATATACTGAAACTAAGATAGTATTACACATTTAAAATAGTATTCACTTAAGCTTGGCTAATAGAGACATTGAATAGTTGATGAAATTATTACACATTTCTCTAGTGGTTTGAGCTCTTACCCCTGTTCAAAACACAAGTACTTGAGTTTAATCTATGAAGCACGGACACCTTTCCGGCGGCAACGTATTGGACACGCAGCGGACATGTGTCGGACACTCTCTCTAACGTGTCTAGAATTTGTTTTGATTTTTTTCCAATTGGACACTTTGCGGACACGCTCACAGACACTTGAGGGCTATGATACACGGATACAGACACGGGACACGACACGGATATGTGGGCATGCAAATTTTCAAAAAATGGGGGATACCAAATGCTAGGGACATGCTTAATATATATAATTTTATTTATTTATTTTTATTTATTTACTTTAATATCAAATTTCATTTACAAATTAATTTTTTCCTACAAATAAAAATAATTTATTTTATGTATGTTTAAGTTGAGCAATCAAGAATACTCAAAAAATAGAAGGGGAGAAAAAATATAGAAGAAAAAAAAGAAGGGATTTTTTGGTTAAAATATATATATATATATAATATCAGGGACAAAGGGGAGCAAAAAAAAGAATAGAATAGAGGAGAGAAAAGAGAGATGATCTCACAGAAGGAAGAGAGAGTCAAAGAGGCAGAGTCGATGAGTTCAACACAAGCGACAGACAAAGTCGAAAGTGAGAAAGAGAGGCGAACATAGACTCATGGAGAGAGACGAACAGAAAAAGAAGAAAAATAAAGAAAAGAAGAAGAAAAACGAAGAAGAATAACAGATGTGAAGAAACGAAGACATATTCGAAGAACATACCTCGATTTAGGGCTTCAACACGTTTTTCTTTACCCTTTCTCTTTCTCTCTCTCTGTATTCAATTAGTTAGGGTTTTTATCTCTCTGTATTCAACGAGTTAGGGTTTCTCTTTCTTCGTATTCATTGAGTTAGGGTTTCTCTCTCTACGTCTTTAACGTGTCCACAACGTGTCCAGTTGGAAATTTTTTTTAAAAAAAAGGGGAACACATTAGGTAGTGTTTGATATGCATCCACGGCGTGTCCGACGTGTGTCTGTGTCCGACACATGTCGGACACCCATACGCTGCCTTCAGAGAGGAGAGAGAGAGAGAGAAGTCGCTCACTTGTAAACCCTAGACGAAGCTATCAAAGCTTTTGAAGGTCCCTATTGAAGTAATCAGAGATTCGCAGGTAGGTTTCTCTCTCTCTCTCTCTCTCTCTCTCTTCTTTTCTTGGTCTCTCTTCGTCTCATTGTCTTCGTTCTTCTCTCTCTACTTCGTTGTCTTTTTTTTTTTCTTCCTTTAGACTTTGTTTTTTAGTCTCTCTCTCTCTCTCTCTCCTTTGTTTCTTTCTCTCTTTTTTTTCTTCTCTCTTTTCTCTTTAATTATATATTTTTTGAACCCCTTTTTTGAGGTCAGCTATTGGATAAGAACAAAAATTTGGCAACCTCTCTATTTTTTAATATTCATCTTTGGCCCTAACATGCATAGAGCAAATTATTTTTATCTGAAAAAAAAATAAATTTATTGAAATTGCTCAATTTATTTATTAGGTAAAGTGCTGAAATTGATGAAAAGCCGTAGATATATATTTTAAAATATTTGTTCATGTTATTTTCTATTACTCCTTAATTTTTTTTATGACACAATAAATAGATAAAATTATATATTTTGAGCGTATCCCCAGCGCGTCGTATCTCTTATTTTTTGAAAATTTGTATGTCCGCATATTCGTGTCGTGTCCATATCCGCGTCCGTGCTTCTTAGAGTTTAATTGACAACAAAATTCTTGCTCAGGTGAATTTCTTCTTCTGATCTTCTATGAATTGATGCAGAAAGTAAAGACTAGCGTTATAAAGAACAATTGTAATCCGGAATGGAATGAGGAGTTAACTCTTTCAATTAAAGATCCAAATGTTCCAATCATCCTAGTAAGTTACTCTTCCACTTATTTTTATTCTTTCACTATGCAATGATTGGCTATGAATGTGATTATGCAATTTATTTTTACTACTATGGCTGTATTTGGTTCATGGAAATAGGGATGGACTTGGAAAGGGAAAGGGAAAGGGAAAGGGAAAAAGTATGTGAAATGTAGGTGATATTTAATTATATTTTATTTACATTTCACTTACATTTTTTCTTTCTCTTTCAAAATCACTCTCCAAATCCATTAACCAAATACGGCCTAAAAAGCAAATCTTTATTTTGTGTAATGATATGAATAGCATCACCAACAATGTTCAACTTGATTAGTGATCATAAATTTAAGCTACAGAACCACTATTTGTTTGTTTGTTTTTTTTTTTCAAATTTTTATCTGCCAAAAATGATAGAGCATGTAATAATGTTTGTTCTCATTTCCCATTTCTCTTGAATTTTGCAAGTGAAGAAGACAAATTGCAACAACCCAATTTTGAAGATTATTATTAATAGCACATTTGGTTTTGTTTGTTTATCAGAGTGTGCATGATAAAGACACGTTCACCAACGATGACAAAATGGGTGAGGCAGAAATAGATATTCAACCATACATAGAGTGTATGAAGATGGGCTTTCAGAACCTCCCCAACGGTACTAAAGTTGGTGAAGGAGTTCAGCCAAACAGCAAAAATTGCCTAGCCGAAGAGAGCTGCTTTGTCTGGAACAATGGTAAAATTTGCCAAGACATGCGTCTTAAATTGAGGAACGTAGAATGTGGGGAGGTAGAAGTCCAGATTGAGTGTATTGATCTTCACGGTCATAAAAGTTCCCGGAGTTGAGGTATGCTTTGTATCGGCTTGTAGTATGTTGTGATATATGGGTTGGTATTAGACTAACCATATATGTAATCTTTTATGTCGGTACTCTATAGTAATTATCTTACAATGAATCCACCAATCAAATGTATCAGTCTGTTTGTGAGAACAAGATTGATGTTTTGCATTGGCAGTGCTTCCATTTCCATGTCATGTGACCTAACAATTGGCTTGAATTTTGTAGTTCTGTATTGTAATAATAAGAAATTCCTTGCCTACAGGTCATTGTGTTCTGTCTCTCTTTCATAAACGACTTGAACACACACATATATTATGTATAACGACTTGCCTATAACTAAATTTTCAAAGTTTTCTATTTTTTTCTTTCACTTTATTTTACTTGATTTTTACTTTTTACCAAATTTTCTTTCTAATCAAACAGAGATTGAATGAAAAGTGATAGCAAAACAGATTCCGAAAAAAGGTTGTTCGCCATAGTGGGTGTTCTTGTTTTTCTGCAGTTGGCCTTGTTTGGTTTAACTCTCAAAACACAATTTTTGAAAAAAATTTCCAAAATTTTGTTTGGTTGGAAATTTTTTGAATTTTTTTTCTTCCAAATCACTTTCTCTCAGTCAATCACTTTTTCTCTCTCATTTCTTATTCTTAATCACTTTTTCTCTTACACATATCTATTCAACTATCATAAAACATCAAATTATACCAAACTCCAAAATTATTTTCAAAATATACAACCAAACAAACCTAAAAAATTTCGAAACTCTCTTTTCAAATTTTTTTTGAAAATTTATTTCAAAACACAAACCAAACACAATGATGTGTTTTGCTTCAAGTAATTCTGTCACGTCGTTCAGAGTTTTAAGTTTTGTTTGGTTTATGGATTTAAGAAGAAAATTAAAAAAGAAAATAAAGGTAAAATATATTTATATTTAATTTATATTTCACTTAATTTTTTTTTGGTTTTTAAAAATCTTCTTAAATTCATAAATCAAATATAGTCTTAATGATTGATATTTTATTTACAGTTCTTATTTCTCAAGTTTTGAACATATTCTCGAAAGTTTGGTATATAATCCCATGTTTGGAGACATTATTGTAGGGAAAATAACTGTCAGGATTTTGTAAAACTTAATTATAAATGTGTGGAAAAATTTATAATTTTATTTTTTAATATGTATACAATTTATTATTAATCTATAAACATATATTTTTTTAAATATGCACTGAAATGAAATTACTCCATTATTATATACTCATTTTTTATTTTAATAATAATAGAGTCAGACGTTTTACCATTTTTTAAAAAAAATTAATTAATGATGAGAAGGATTTCACTGTTGTGCTTCAATTTGAGGTATATTATGAGTTTATTTTTATGATTCGAACAGTCATTTTGTAGGGTTTGTTGAGTACTTCATGCCTATCAAAAATCATATTAATCGGATATCAATAACTATATGATTGACAATCAAAATAGCATAAAAAAATATGTAATTCGATCATATAGTTATTGATATCCGATTAATATGATTTTTGATAGACATGAAATACTTAACAAACTCTATAAAATGAACGGTTTAAGTCATAAAAATAAGTCCATAATATACCTCAAATTGAGGCACAACAGCCACTACTGTGCTAAAGGCACAGTAGTGACCCCATTTCCTATTATATACTAACAATCTTATAGCTAAATATTTGGGCCTCCCTTCTTAGGGATGGCAATTTGAAACCGGCCCAACGGGGATCCCCGATCCCGACCCCGATTTAAGCGGTTTTTCTCCGAAAAATACCCTCGACGGGGAGGGGACGGTATTTGAAAATCAATCCCCGATCTGTTTCGGGCCGGGGACGGTGATCAGTGTTCAAACCCCGGCCCGGCCCCGTCCCCGTCCCGGTCCCCGAATTATCCCCGAAGTGAAAATACCCTTTTACCCCTCCTATAAATATATATAAACCAAACCTATTTTCCCATTTCACTTCCTCTGTGTGTCTCTCTCTCACCGTGGCCCTCATCTCTCTCTCCCTCACTCAATGACTCAAATCTCAGTCTCATCTCTCTCTCTCCCTCCCTTTCCTCTCCTTCTCTTTCTCTCTCCTCATCATCTAGATCAGATCGAAACAGATCTGAACAGATGCGTCGCCGATCCTCCACTACCACCGCCTCCGTCGCCATGGCAACACCGCCTCTTCGCTTCCTCTTCGCAACACCGCCGATCATCCGCTGCAGCTTGACGAACAGATCTGTAGATTTTTTTTTTTATTTTTTTAAGTGGATGATGATAGATGATGATGATAGATCCTCCACCACCACTGCCTCCGTCGCCATTTCAGATTTTTTTTTTTTTTTTAAGTTGCTGTTGATGATGATGATAGATTCATATATATATATATATATGAATCATATGTATATATATACAATACAACAGATTCATATAGATATATATGTATATATGAATCTATTCAATACAACAGGTTTTTTAATTTTTGAGTATATATATTCATATTCAATACAATAGATTCATATATATATATATATAGATTTTTGAGTATATATATGTTTATGTATACAACAGATTCATTGAATATTTTTTGAACAGGTCGGGGATTTTCGGGGTCGGGGAAACTCGAACCCCGATCGGGAGCGGGTGTGGGGGGGCCGATAGGGTCCCCGTCGGGGATCGGGGGTGGGGACGGGAAATTTCTCACTATCGGGGATCGGGGACGGGGAGGGTGGTCCCTGGCCCGGCCCGGCCCCGTTGCCATTCCTATACCTTCTTCATGGGGCAGATCTAAAGCTGAAGCTTTTGGGAGTCTGATTGGAAAAGCGTTGGGCAAAATGCAAGGGTGGAAATGTAAGCTTTTATCTCAAGTGGGTAAGGAAACACTAATCAAAGCTGTTGTTTAGGCTTTGCTCTCCTATGCCATGTCCTATTTTGAAATGCCACAATCTTTCTGTGCTAAGTTAAATTATCTTGCTCAAAACCATTGGTGAAAAGGAGATCCGGATAACAAAGGCATCCCTTGGGCAAGTTGGGATCATATGACAACCCCCAAAAATCAAGGAGGTATGAGCTTCAGAGATTTCAAAGCTTTTAACCAAGCCTTACCTGCTAAGCAAGGTTGGCGTCTCCTTATGAACCCCACTTTTTCCTGAGCTCATGTGTATAAAGGCCTTTACTTTCCAAATTCCACTTTCTTGTAAGCATCCAAGGGTAAGAGAACATCTTGGGCATGGTCAAGCCTTCTCAAAGGTAGGGAACTCCTCCAATGGGCTCCAGTAGCAAATCCAAAATGGCAAACTTGCACACTTTTGGAAGGACAAGTGGGTACCCTCTATTAAAGATTTCAAAATTGCTTCGCATAAACCACCTTATTGTAATGTTCAAAAAGTTGTTGAAGCTATTGACCCCACACATAAAACCTGGAATCGTGAAATTCTCAACGAGTGGCTTTTGAAAGAAGATTTAGAGGTTGTTCTTGCCATCCTACTTGCAGCGGTCAATATAGATGATATTTTAATATGGCACCATACTCCATCGGGAGTTCATTCAGTCAAGTCGGGCTATGTCCTAGCCAAATAGATCTGCCACAACTCCAATGGTTTTGACAAACCCTCGGAATCTCTCACCCTTGGAATAGATTTTTGGAGTTCAATTTGGGATCTTGATGTTCCACTCAAAATCCGACACTTTTGGTAGCGAGTCTGAAATAATTTGTTGGCCACAAAGCTGGGTTTGTTTAGGCGTAAGTGTGCATCTTCTAGTGAATGTCCTATTTGGAGAAAATGTGATGAATCCATGGAGCATCTTCTGTTTGATTGTCCCTGGACCAAGGCTGTTTGGTTTGGCAGCTCTTTAAATATGAGAGTGGATCAAGGCTCGATAACAAATGTGACCAAGTGGACCAACGATCATTTGCAAGGCGGTAATTCAAAAAATGAATCCAAACGCCTTATTAGTTTAGTTGCTATTGTTGCCAGGTTCATATGGAAATCTAGAAATGATTGTCTTTAATCATCAAGTGGTGGACCCTCATGCCACTTTGCAAAAGATCACTCATTTCCGGAAGGAACAAGATGATCTGATTGGCCAATTCAACCCTCTCCATCAGGCCTTAGCCGTCCCCAACCATAATCCCCGATTAGGTTGGCAGCCAGCTTCCCACAGTAGAGTCAAATTTAACTGTGATGCAGCTTTTTGCGAACATTCTTCATCAGCTGTAATGGCTGTGATTCTTAGAGACTCAAAGGGAAATCTACTGGATGGTTGTGCTAAGTCTATCAAGGCTTCATCTGCAGTACAAGCCAAGGCCCATGCAGTGTGTATGGCGTGTCTCATGGCTCAAGCTCTCAATCTCTCCCAAGTGGAAATCAAGGTGACAACAAAATGTTGCGTTTCCGAAATAGTTCCACCATGGGAGTATGATGCTGTTATTATGGATATTCGAGGTCTTGCTTCTCCAACTTCTGTTTTGTTTTCTTGGACAAGAAGAAACAACAATGAAGCAGCACATTGGGTTGCAAAAGCTTGTCTTTCTAAGTCTTTACCAGTAAATTGGGTTGTATGCCCACCTGCTACTTTTGTTTCCATACTAAATTCTGATGTATCCCATTGTCCTCTTTAATTGAAAGTTTGGGAGTTCAAAAAAAAAAAAAAAAAAAAATCCATTTTTTACAATAATGCTGCCATGACTCAAATCTATAATGCTCCCCAGATTCAAATCTATGACAACTTAACTTTGATGGTATATAATTCTTTATTTTTTAGAATATTAGATTGGCTGACGTTTCTTTTTAGTTGGAAAATTTAATTGGAGCATGTTATTAGGCCTATGTGAATTCACTACAGAGTTCACATTGATAATCCGAACCGTTCAATGCATACGACTTATTGAGTATTTTATCTTTATAAAAAATCACGTTGATTAGATAAATATTTGACCAGATTACATTTGTATTAATAATTTTTTTTTAAAATTATAGTTACTGTTAATACAAATTTAATCTGATCAAGTGACTATCGATATATGATTAACGTAATTTTTTATACAAATAAAATACTCAATAAATTGTACATATTAAATATTTCAATTTATCAATATGAGTTCTATAAATATAAAATCTAACAACACGTTTCGGCCTGAAATCGGACCGAGAGAAGCTGTTTTGTATTGGATTATAATCAAACTTGATGGTGGTTGAGCGGTTAGCCCAACACACTTATCATTTGATGCGATATACCACTTTGTTTGATTTGATCA